CTTGCCTGTGGGCGGGCTGTGGTGGCCCGCGGTCTGGCCGCAGAGTGCCCACAGAGAAGCGTTGTCGATGGAACTGCCGATACCCCACCTTGTTACTGGGGTTTGGGCCTGCAGAAGGAGGCAGGAAGAGAGGCTGCGTCTTCTGTGGTGGTTGATGAGTTGCGAGAAAGCCCTCAGCAATTCTTTTATATGCTTTTCTTAGATGTTTACTTAACATCTCACTTAAGAACGTAGGACCTTTGTTGTTCCTGGAAGGCTGATAAATATAAAGCATACCTTTGGTGTCTTCCAAAGACCTCTTTCTGTTTGTCTTAAAATGGTGAGAAGACACATGCCAATCATTTTTGTTTTGCAGGCTACTTTTAAGATTCAGAAATCATGAAAATACAGAGGTAGTGCTTTCCCATGATATGGTGAATAGGTGAAAAGAATGGTTTCCACTTGTGCTATTTTAGAGACTCTTTCATACAGCATCCCCTTTGCTGCTCTCATGTCCCATTCATACACCTGTTTGATTGCTGGTTGCTAAGTGGACAAGTACAGGGTCTTCAAAGTGGTTTTTTAGTCTTCAGAAGTATCACATGAATAGTGGGGCAGTGAAACTTGGTGTGTGCAATGTCCTGCGTTGTGGGATGCTAGTCCTGAAGACTGTAGGAAATGGAAATAAGCAGAACATAAGAAGTTGATTTGTGCAAATCAAGTTATGGGGCAGACGTTTGAAACATTTGATTTGAACAGTGGAAACCTGAAGCACGTACCAGCACATAGTTAACACTGCTATCCCAGAAGGAACACTTGATGCGTTTGTGGAAGCTTTGCCTACTTGGGATATGCAGTGGAAAAGCAGTAAACCAGTGTGGCTTGGGGGCACCTGGTGCACGCTTGACTGTTGTGCATATGCTGGTTAGTGAGAGCTGTCAAACTGCAGGGTTTGGTTTTTAAAATGTGGCTGATAACACTGTTTAGTCTGTTTTCCCTGTCTCCTGGATTTACAGAGATTCAGAGCGATGTGTCACCTACTGTGGTTTTCTACTGTTCTTACTGTAAAATCTTCTCTGTCTTTGAATCAGGTCAGGGATGTAAATTGCTCTTGCTTGCACAGTGTTTGCACTGTTGTTTTTGCTGTGTAGTTTGCTGTGTAGTTTTCAGGGAGAAGGACATGAAATCTGAGACGACAAATGGTATCTGTTTTGTGTTTTGTAGATGGCTCGGCAGATGCAATTCCAGAACATAACGAATTCCTTTTTCCAGAATATGAAATTTTAATAGAACCTGAGGAACCAGAATTCCTTGCTGACAGCACTGTAAATCCCAGTGATGAGCAAGGAGCTGTAGAGACATCAAAGGACCTGAAAGAACAAGAGGAATTCTGTGTCACAAGCAGGGCAGGTAAGAAGATGTAATTCTTCCTAACAAAGCCTGCATCACATCTTTAAAATATAAAATACCGTGATTTTTAAGTGTTCATTGTAAACTACTGGTGCCAAAAGGCTAAATCTACAGTCATTTGCGATGCAAGTTTTTTGTAGACATCCCACAATATAAGTTGCTTTTAGGGAACAGACTTACTAAGCCCCAACCCCAGAAGCTGTTGAAGTGGCTGTTGCTGCAGTGAAGCTGTGTCCATTTGTGCTTCCTGCAGGTAAGGAACAAGGCGAGTGAGGAAAACGGGACCCTGAGCATGTGCTGCTGGACACTCTTGGAGTCAGGAGACTGAGTTACATGGTCTTGGCTTGACTTAGTTCAGTTTGTCTGAATTTATGGAAAATGCTTAACAAATCTGCTTGTCTGTGCTAAAGGAAGCTGTTCTGAGGCTATTTTAATTGATCTTGAATTAAGCAGCTGAAGTGCAGGCACTTTCCCCTCTTGCCCCCAAATGCATGATGTGTTTGCAGCTCACCATGCAGCTTTGAACACACCCAGGCAGAGAGTTTGTGGTGGTACCGGGAATGCTGCTGGGCTCTGAGCCATCTCTTGCTGTGGTCTAAAGTCATTCTGAGACTGCTCAGTGCTCAGTTCACATGTTGATGTGAACGTTGCACTGTGACAGACACGCTCTTCGGTGCTAGAAACTGAAGCCTGGCACACACACAGCACAGGTGGCCTTTCCAGATGTCACGTTCTGAAGGTTCACCATTCTCTGTGATACCCACTAGGAGTCACAAACCATGGTAGATTAACTCCTTCCCTTTCCAGCGTTTCAGTGCGGACATCTGTGTTTAAAATGCAGCTAACACTAGTAAATGGATCTGTGTGTGACTGTCACAAAAAGAGGAGGGAGGGAAGTCTTGGAATGATTTTGGTCTTGGAATACTGGAAACGATTCTTGAGAGCAAAATGCATTCACAGGTGCAGTATTGTTTTTAATTTTTGGCTGTCTTGCATTAGCCTGTAACCTTTGGGTTTTTTTCTTTAGGTGAAGCATGTCAATCCTTAGATGAAGAGACACTGGAAGCTATGGCAAAACATGAGACTGAAGATGACAAGATTTTCCAAAGGTTTAAAGAACGAATAGCTGTTGAACCAGAGCAGGTCAGAAGATGGGGCAGCCGTAGAACTTAGAGGATCTGGCCCAGCATCATGCTGCACCTAGACAATGTTTCACTGCCTTCTGTACCTTCTGTTAGAAATGGCAATGGGGATGCCCACCTCATCCTTCCCACACCTTAACCCTCATGAAGCATTCCCTTATCTTCCTTATGGGCAAAACTGAAGTAAGAGTTTAGAACCTACCCACCTGGCTCAAACAGAAGTTGGTCAGGATGAGAAGGCACAGGGGGGTGAAGCCAACATGGTTGGGACCTGCCATCCTGTGAGGTGGTTTAACCAAAGGAGGTAGTGAGCCATTTCACCCTTCCCCAGCCTTTGGCCCTGTTGGCTCCCCTTCTCAGCTGAAACAAAACTGCAGGGAGGAGCTCTGTCACTGTTGCCAGTTGCATGGAGGAGTGGTTTGGATTTTTTTAAGGTTGAAGAAATAAGTGATGGCTTTAAAATATCAACTGTTTAAACCAGAAATCTCCCCCCATGCTATTTCTTGCTAACACCAGAGGCTGAAAATGAGCCTCATTGTGAAACAGAAACATGGCTCTGTTCTATTCAGAGGAAACACAAGCCTAAATCCATGAATATGGTGGAGGAAGAAGAAATTATCTCCCATGTTTTACCTGGGGTTTAGCTGAGGGGTTAAGGTGCACACCCTGAAAGTAGGAGACTTTGTTCCCTCCTCTGCTTGAGGTAGATGCATCACTTCTCTGACCATCTCCATTTTGATTGATCTTCTGATAATGCCAGATTTCCTGTATAAATCCTTAGATAGTAACAGAACAACAAAGGATATGAATGTCTGAAAGAACCTCCTCCTTGGACATCAGGACAGTCCATTTAGGTGCAGAGCTGCAAACAGGAAGAGCTGGGTTGCATTCCTGACTTCTCTGCACACTTCTGTGTGCTAATTATCAATCTGCTCTTCCTTCATCCCAAGACTATAAAATACGTGACCTCGCACTTTTGGGTCCCTTAATTAGCATCATAAGAGCAATACAAATCATTGCAGTTTATCCCTGGATCATTGAAGAAAAAGCAATATGAGCACTTGTGTCATTCATATAAAGGACCTGTCTTATTTAAAGTACCACATTTGCAACTGATAGATTTTGCCATGGGTATTACTCAAAGGAAGTGACCTTTTTTGCATCATAGTTCAGCTTTGTCTATGTCATTAAATACCAATTCTATACCAAGATGAAAAGACAGTCTCAAGAACTTAACTTCTGCTCTATTTCAGATTATTAGATACTGCAGAGAAGGAGAAGGCCCAATCTGGGTATCAGGTGAAAATATACCTGAAGAAAAAGATATCCCAAATTGCTTATGTGGTGCTAGAAGAATTTTTGAATTCCAGGTATGTAAATTCATTTACAGATAGTACAGACAATGTAGTTGAGACTCAACAGGCTCTAATTGTATAGATGTTGGCTTGTAGTTAGAGCAGGGTGGTTGAAGTTGCTACAAGCTAATAATGTTAAATGGTAGAGAGCCCTCATTTACTATTGTAACTGCTTTTTCCTTGAAGACTTTCACATACAGTAGGTAGGTTCCCATCTGACAATTTGCACCATTCATAAAATGGTGCAGTGCTGAACACAGAACCATCTCTTAAGTCATAGGATTCTGGTATTGTGTATTTAACAAAAAAAGCCTTCCTGTTGTGACTTGGAAATATGTCTGGCTGGAAACACTTGGCTGTAGAATTTTGAATGCTAAACACATTGAATACACTTCATGTCATGCAAAGATGACATAATTATGAAGGTAATTTCAAATGGAAGGAGGCTTGCAAATCAGGCAATGCTTAGTCAGATAAAACTTGTATAGCTAAAGTAAGTAGGGCCATGCCTTTGGTTCCCTGTGCATCTAATATACTGGGTTAGGAATTCCAAATATATTTTATTTGAGCTGCTCTGTTTTCAAGTAGCTTTGATTGGAATTTTAGTGTAGGAGAACGTAAATGAAGGCAGGACCCTTCTTTGAGAAGAGATGCAGGGAGAGGGTAGAGAGCTGTGGCCTACCTCTAAACGTGGTTTTTTTTTTTTTCCTTTATAAAAGATAATGCCCCAACTCCTGAACCACCTTCAGGTTGACAGCCTGGGAGAGAGCATTGACTGGGGAACGCTGGTGGTGTACACTTGTGCTGACAACTGTGGTGAGGGAAATGAATACATGGAGGAGTTCATATGGAAACAAGACTTCTCTGCAAGCTCTGTTTGCCTTCCCTCAAGTTATGAAGCTGAATCCTCTAAATAGGATACTTGCTTTGTTTCAGTGCATCTGTGCTTTGCATACAGATTGAACTACAGTTGCTGATGGCTGTGTATCTTTTGACAGTGATAAAAACTAGAAGTAAGAAAGACCTTGACAGCCTCTTTCTTGCACTCCACAGGAGCTTTTATACTTCCAACCTAGTAATGAAGCCAGGTGCATTTGTTCAGTGAATTTAAGTTCAAATCTCAGTTCTGAATGTTTAAATAAAGATGAGATATTTTTGGATTGGTCAAAGCATCTTGTGTTCTGACTGAACTTCAAGAACATAGGTTAATGCCTGTCAGGATTTTCTTTGTGCCACTCAAAAATTAACATTCATTCACAGAGACAAGCAGACTACTGTAAGATCGCTGGAGTGCTTATGCTCAGGAGGTGTATGGAAGTCATAACCAAGAGAAAGCTGTGTAGCCTTTCACTATACAACTTAAATGTGCTTCTCTTTCTCAGGAGGTACACTGAACAACTTCGCAGTTGTTATATGTTGTGATCGAGTGCTCGTTCAAGGTAAAATGCACAAAAATTAAGTGCTTTATCTGATTTCAAACTATTGAGTTAAACTATTTCTGTATGGGGCTACCTGTCTGGTGCAGCAGCAGTTTAAACACAGCCAGTCTTACCGGAACGTGTTCGTGTTGTTACTTACTGCCTGTAGCAGTAGATTTTCAAGCTGAATGGTACCTTAAGTCTGCCATCTTTGGTGAAGATTAAAAGTAAGTAAGTGCCCTCTGCAGGGATTCTTTTGTTACTTGACTGCCATATAGCTGAGGCAAGAGAAAAGTGAAACCATAATGCCAAAATTACCGTGGTAGCAGCTTCATTCCTTTGGCTATAGCTGTATTTGCAGAAAAGATGGGCTGGGGGAGGGTAGAGTTGGGGAGGGTGGTTTTTTTATAGAATTTACTTCATTTAGGTATTCCCTTAACCTGCCCAAACCATTCCTGCAAAAGCATGGACAGTTACACAGCTATGTTCAAGAGCACTTGGGAACAGTCACTAGCTCACAGCAGTGTGGCACTGGAGGTGATGCAGGGTTTGGCTATTTTGAACTTATCCTGGCAAAGCTACATGATTAAACAGCAGCTTTCTGGTAAGATCTGTGAAACCAATTATTAAAATACCTGGAGAAACAGTGGTGTACACTGCCAATGGGGGGAGTAGTTCTAGAAGACTATGGATTAAGGTCACTCAGGATTTGCAAAACTTCATTTTGTCTGGAATGTAACACCAACTTAGTACGCAAAGAGACCATGGTTACATTTGGGTTAGTTTTAGATAAAACCTATTTGAAAAAATGTGCAAGTCATAGAAAGGAGGTTACTATTACTGGAAATTTACTGGAGAAAAAGTTTATTTTTAGTTGTCAGCCTATAAGCTTCAAGCACAGTTCAGAGGGAAGATCATGTACATACTGACTAGTCTTTGACATTTTACAGGAACACTAATATAGTGAGGCTGTCATAGTTGGTAAAATACAAAACTAGTATTTTAAAGAAATTCTGGAAGCTAAGCAGGGATTTTTGTTCAATTCAGTCAAGTGTAGCTATTAAAGACTTGCATAAATCCCATGTGTTGAAGATAAGGCAACACATACTTGTACACACACTTCTTCAACCAGTCATTTCTTTTGCTTTAACACACGAGAACTATTCAAGCTAGACATTGCCAAGGATGTGACTGCTGGTAAACAAGCCAGAGCATTGTGGAGATTCTCTCAAAATGACAGGTCACTTAAGAGTAGTGCATGTGCTATTGAAAGTTCCAGATTAAATTAAACAGTCCCCCAAAGCAGTTTTCACTGTATTTCACTCTATCAATCAGCTGGGTAATTCTAAAATTCATTAAGACAGTTCCCATAGTTGTATAAACAGGGTTTATTGTACATGTGGAGCTGAAGGAGAAAGAGAAGGAAGGTATATATTATATATATATGTACAGTGAGCCATTTTCATTAATAAATTTATTCTATCTTGCTTAATACTGGAAAAAGGGAATGTGTCTGGCACCAAAGAAATTTAACATTGGAAGAAATTTAAAAGCTTAAGTTCTTAAAATTATAAAAACCATGGTCTTATGGGAGGAAGTTAAAACATATATACATGGCAATTTAAGTGGTTTACACGCTGAGTGACACAGTCGCATTTGTCTTTAAACCAACTTATGGATTTCCTAGTAATAGAACTGGCATTAAAACTATTTAAAAGCTAGAATATAAATAAACTTGGAGGGGCTGCTCCAGGAACAGCCCAGTAAAGCAACTCACAGTAACTCAGTAGACATATCAAGAATACAGTTCCCCTTGAGCATCAGGGAAAGTAGGCACTAAATGGGAAATAGTCCAAGTCCTGGTGTTGCAGCTTCACTGGAATCCATCTCTTGTTACTGCCGTGCCATACGCAATACCTTGTAAAACATACCCCTGATTTCTCGGAAAGATGCAGGAACTGTTACGTTGTCTTTCTGAATCCCTTTAAAATAGGATAGATGTTTTCAAATGCTTCATAGATTTCTGCTCGTACTTTAGCACCTAGAAGAAGAGGGGGAACGAAGTTAACTTGTACCTTTCACCAAATACCTAATTTTAGCTTTTAGGACGTTTATTGTACACAACTTTATACAAAACTGATGCACATCCATAAATCCCTATTTTTATTATCTCTTTGGTTTTAGTACACATTTCATATAGAGCATAGATTACCAGCCTTCTCACTGTTTATTCTGATAAATGGCAAAGCTTTCATTAGCATCTTTGTGCGCATCCTGCACTTGCAAACGGGATTCTTCCATGCATAATTTCCACAGGAGACCCAACTACAAAGTGCAGCCCATAGGATGTTGCTGCAGAAAGATTCCACCGGTGGAACTTGGTTTTGAGTATGAAACCTAGGGGAGCAAGGTCTGGCCATGAAGACCGCTGCACAGGCCTGCCACTGGTCACGCTGCAGGGACATGTTCCTTCTTTTGCCTGAGTCTTGTGGGCTTTCTTCCTCCATCATGAGATTCAGTACGAGGGGAAAAGGAAGGGTGTAGGTGAAATGCTTGAGGTTGAAGTGGTCCTACAGCATGGCTATCTCCCCTTCTTTGGCTGCCATATCAAAGGAGAATGGCAGCAGCATCCAGCCAAGCTATCAAAGAACACTGAGTGCAATCATACACATCCAGCACACAGAAATGGACTTTCAGATTTGCCAGAAACACTACCTGCGCTCTTACAGCTTCTGGGGCACTTGAATGCTTAATTAGGATTCATGATTGCCACTTACAGTAATTGAGCCAAACGTGTCTTTTGGTTTATGCATTCTCATCCACAGAATGCTGTACTATCTGCTCTTTCTCAGTACTGTCACCTCAAAAGGAAAGAACCTACATATCTCTTGGTATCATTGTGTGTTTGCTATAATACAGTCTAAATCTAACCTACTGGAGTAAGATAGTATCTTCACTTACCAGTTAAAACCACTTTTCCAGAAACGAAAATAAGCAGAACAATTCTTGGCTTGATCATTCTGTAGATTAAGCCAGGAAACAATTCCGGCTCGTAGCTGTAAGAGAAGAGAGTGACGGTGTTCAAACATGCTTGCACACGCATGTTCCAGTCTTTCATCTGCAGGAATGGGCAGAGCAGATGTGGACTTCACTGAAACTTAGGAGAATGCAGCAGAGATCATGTTGATGAGTTCCTACTGGGCAGTCTCCGTTAAACCCAAGGCAGAGCAGTGATGGGAACAAAGATGTGGGTGTCCCTCTGGTGCAAGGGAACAATCTGAGCAAGTGTCACTCTTCTAAACTAGTCAACATGCAACAAGAATGAAACATAAACAAGC